ATAAGAAGGTTTTCAACCAGAACTCGACGGTCGAGCACCATTACCTGAGATCGAGGTCGAAATTTTTTTATAGCCGAGACATTGAAAAACTAGTAGAATTTAAAGAACAAGTCATGACTAAGTTAGGAATGTACGCCTGGTTGATTTTCTCATCTTCTCAGGGATAATTTTTTTCAAAGAAATGCGGTCACTTTCGTGGATAAAGCACCTTACTCCTAAACACCTAAAATTCGAGCTAATTCCTAACAAACATAAAACAAAACAAATGAGCGAATAGAGCAGAAGAAGTGCTCACAAAAGATACACCAGTTGATATAAACAATAGCGTTTCAGAGGAAGAATTTCAATTTGAAAATTGCCATGGCTTATCGGTCGGCCAATTCGAAAAGAAACAGGGCAAACCTTTTTCGGCAACCTAAGGGTGGAATGTTCAGAAGAGGTCATGAGTAAGTAGAGGGTACATCATTGATTGATTTCTCCCAGGGAAAATAAAGTTAGAGCTAGTTGTCGGTTTGGTCAATTTTTGTCGGCGGGACCTCCCATTTCGCAGGCCTAAAATTTGAAAACCATGGAACATAGATGGAAGAAGAACACATTCTTGTAGAGCAGACAATTCTCTTTCGAATGGTATATGACTCGATGTAAAAGCATGGGGATTTAGATGAAAATTTTTTGGTTGAAAAAAAGCGACACTATTTATGAGACAACCTAATAGGTGGAAGGTTCTTTATCGCTCGACTTTTTCATCTTCTCATATTGTAGTCTTATGTAACCCTACTGTTCGAATAACTAGAAATGAAGCAGTAGAGCATTTGACGCTGATCAATCTCTATTTGGATGCGCCACGCACTCCACTTCTATTCAGATTCCCCTCAAAATCATGATTGCGCGGGGTCGTCATTTCAATAATTGCGACACAGTTTTCTGCAACAAAAACCGTACTGTGAGTTATTCAGATGCTCCTACGTGGTTAGTAGGGCTGTGAATGTTCTAGAACTCTATGATTCAAAAAGGCGGCAACGATCCTTGTTAAGACAGGAAGTTCCATGCGATTTAGTGTGCCAGCTTTCGCAACAACATAAAGAACCCAAGGAATAAAAGCGAAATATGGCCTGAGTCATTCACTCAGTTGGATTTCGTCATACATACACTTTTTATAGAGCGTGAATATGTATGTGGTCTCTACTGCTGCTGGCAGCGTCCAAAATGAAATTTCTAACTTTCTAGTCACATCTGGTACTGAATAATCCCTCGAAGAACAGAGGTTAACCCCTGAAGTGATTTAGCCTAAGCGAAATCTGCTCTATACGTAGCTGCACTTGACGATACTTGCAGGCAGTTTTCCGTCGTAAAAAGAGTTGGAGTGGCAGCTAGCAGCAGTGCTGATTGGCAATTGTGGCGAAGTGTCCCCCCTCCCCCGTCCTCCTGTTAGATCAGCTGAATGGCAATCTCGACAGTCCACTTCCTAATGGCAAACACTGAAAAATCATATCCGGTTCCGGTGCCACGGAGCGCCCTAAGTGCATAATTCATGCCATACAAATATATCTATTAGACCAGCTTTGAGGTGGTACCAGTCCGCAGTTGTCGCCCCTACTACACCAGGGTCTAAGGGTCAAAACTCGCGAACCAATCAGACCCGGGCCATCCAAGCCCTCTGCCTCTTTCGCTGGGACCACAACTGGCATCATACTCATCTGGTAGGATAATGGCTTCGACTAGTTTCATCGGTCGGCCCTGCAAGGCATTGTATAGCCAGATCGTATTGAGGTGCCAGTCTCATTCTGTGTAGAAGCAAGATGCGCTACAAAGGAGAATGACTAATTCCATTCGTTTCACACTTATCCTTTCATGTATGGACCTTTCCCAAATCGAGAGGAATAACTCCAATGGAAGATGTTCTGCGCAGTGTCAGCAGTCGTTTTTTGAGCCATTCAACACTCAGATAGATCGTATTTGCAACGTTTGCGATTTAGATCTCAAATTTTTAAGCGACCATCTACCACAAGTGTTCTCCCAAAATGGTCTCGATGTAACCCCCCACCCCCCCTTCCACCCAACCTCCAAACGCAAAGAGGTCATCCACAAACTACCTTCGAACATTTTGGAAGGAATTATTGAATACAACTCCCACTCCCCTCCCCCTCACTCCTCCCCAAAAAAAAATCGCAATTACGATCGCCATTTGACTCGGTCAAACGGATGGTTAACCCCAAGTGAAGCTGCTCGTCTTCCCTGGGGATTTCTTATAGACAGGCAATTCTGAGCTCATGCATCTGTCCGCAGAGCCGACAAGTGATGACCACTCGACGGGACCACTTAGCGCAACTACGACCGATAAGCAGCCAGGAGACCGATTTTTGAGACCTGCTTTCGTACAATAATGTATGAATTATAGCGGAGATTAAGCCAGGAATAACGACGATGTGATTTGCAAATTTCTCATTTTTTCAAGCATTTTTCGGCAACTACGAACCCGGTATGCTCTAATCAGGTAAGACATAGTGAAACTGATAAGCAGGGCAATTCCTGAGTGCAGCGCTTGCTCAATTTGAATTCAAAATTCTGAAAAAAAAGTATTTCGTTGTTCAGCAGACGCACGTCCCACGCGAACGGAAAAGGGCTTCAATCCTCAGAAGTGCGCTATGCCGTCCCCTGTCGCTGGGATTCCTTCGCATCGACCCAAATACAATGATTTGACTAAGCAACCGCCTCCCATAAATTTGTCTGCCCTTTTTCTGATCGCTCGACTAGCCTTGATTGGAGGACTCAGCTGAATTGCTACATACGGAGATTACTATCAGAGCCATATGGGTGCGGTCGCCCTCCACTCCGAATGCGCCCACTGAATGGCCGTAAATGGGGAGTGTAGGCCCTTGATGCTCGCAATGAATGCAAAGTGACGACTCTCACTGACACTCGTTCCCTTTCAAACACATGCACATTCTTCTATAATCTCGTATCTTTGTGCTTTGCTTTATGGAACTTTTATTTTTGTTTGTTTCTGGCGATAAAGAAACCCAGTCGAGTTCATGGCGCATCTCGAAAATGATGAACGGTACTGAATACCTCACTCTTTTCGTTCGACTGAATTGCGCGATCAATCGAAAAAATGTTGACATTCGTTTTTAGCCCCCACTTCCGTGAAAACGATCTTTCTGGTCACTTGCCTCTTGAAACCCAATCCGCCGCGCTCAGGTGATGGGTGAGCTTCTTTCTGACATTAGAGGAGCGCAGAGGTCAGAGGATTCGAGCGGATTATTTGCCAACTCAGGATGGACGTTGTTTGCCGGCTTGTTGACGAGGGTTCGGGCGATGGCCCCAGCCCGTCGGCCGGCCGAGCTCGTAACGTATTGACCTCTTTGGGCGTCGGACGGACATTGTGCAAACGTCGCGACGCGGGTGGAATCCACCGCGGCGCGACGCCCTCCACCGGAGTCTCGCAGGTGGTCCGCACCGACCGGTTGCGTCTGTCCCGTTGCGTCGTCTTTCGGCTCTGTTCTTGTTTCTTTTTTTACCCTATCTTCCTTTTCAACTGGTGTAGCGCCTTCCCCTCCTCCCACTCTCTTTCTGACTCACTGCTGTCGAATGTTCCAACTCGTCGTCGCGGTGAATTCGAGGCATTTTCACGTCGATGACTCAGCGAGTCATCGGCTACTTCTTTGTCTCACTTTGAGTGTACAGTCTTTTGCAGGGCGGCAGACGGGCTGACGACGACGATCGATCGAGTGCTGCCCTTATCATCGCAATCTTCAACGACGATGACTCACTCCCAGCACCACCATTAATTTATCACCATCGTAACGGTATTCGCCATCATCGCTACCCTATATTGTCGAGGTCAATGTTGCAACGACGAGGGCGTTCGTCGCCGCCGTCGCCGATTTCGTCTCTTACTCTCTTCGGTTTACTGTCGTCTAATTTCGTTGCGATTTTCGCTTTCAATTTGGATATCCACGCTCCGATATACAAATACGGACATGATGGCACATATTTCGGCTACACTGTCGCCGAACATTTCAAGGGCGACGTGCCTGTGTGAGTTTATCGTTCCATCACGTTTTTCTGGTTTTATTAGATTCTTGCATGATTGCATTTACAACGATGAACATTCATATTTTCAAAGTTTTAAATGAACAAAACCTAATCCCGGTCGCGCTTCAGGCACCATTTTTTGTAAATCGAAATACTGTCTGAAGCGTTGTCTTGCTTTATTTTGACCCCTAGGGCCTTAGATCGAATAGGGTTCTGGCGAATCATTTTGGTGCAATAGTTCGTGCAGATTACGATAATCCCAATTTTGCACAAGGAGTTTTTTGAACTTACCAAATGCTTCGGTCCTAGTTTCTACGCTGCTACTTGAAATTATTGGCGCAATGTGGCTCGGGGGGGGGGGCACACTCGCAACATCGCGTCAAAATCACGGAAACGCTCCGTTTTAGGACTAAGCTTTTGAAGAGGAGAGGAACTCCGGTGTACGGAAGCAATTTTCGTATTCTCCGGAGTTCGTCCCTGCTGTTTAGGCTTAGTCCTAGATGACTTTTCTCAGAGTTCCCCCCCCCCCCCTCGGAGCCAGCATGACGCCGAATTATTATATTAGGTTAACGGCTATTTTGCTGCTGAATGGGTTGAGCGAAGCAAATGCGAACTACGGGACGAAGGATTTGCTGGAGGTTTTAGAGCAAAAGGAAACGCCGGTTATGAATGGATACTTTCTTCGTGCCAAAAGAGTTTGGTCGTCTGTCCGTGCAGGGTCGAGACCACTTCCTGTTTGTTTGGCTTCTTTTTAAGGCAATAGGGTTTGCGCCCGAGTATAACTAGTTTTTGTGCGAAAGTGATTTCACCCACCTCAGGACGGGCGAAATGTCCTACCACTTCGCTGCTTTTGGTGCTTCTACATCGAAAACGTCCCTTATTTCAGTATGGGCGGCTAGGACGAAGTTTGCCCAGCCATATAGGTCATGTATGAATTAAAGTCATAGTATGCTTTTTGAAGCAAATCAATAGCAGTATTAATTTTTGATTATTTTGGCCTGGCAGCTGTTTTTGATCATCTCCATGAAATGCATGCTTACATTAGCTCATATAACGGTGGAATAAAAGCCACATAATCGAGAGAATTCCTTTTCAACTAAAATAGTTGAATTTATTCCTGCCATCAATATCACTGGCTTTATCCCACCTATTTCGAAATGAGCTGTGTATTTTAATCCCTCCTCCGCACGTTTTCGATTATGACGTCAATCTCGTCATGATTCTCCATCGGTGAAATTAAACTAGGTAGTCAGATTATGGATTTCATCGCTTGTTTGATTCCATGATTTATTATCCAGCTATTGGATTAGGGTTGGTCTCACTCGATAGTGAATATTCAACCCATTGCGGACCGCGTGCTGCACCATGTGCAGCACGCCACCACGCGGAGAAGGATAGTAATCTTCGATTTTTTAGGCATTTTGCTAAGTTACAAAATCAACACTTTACTTTTTCGGACACAGGATATATCACTTATTTGCACTTATTAAATTTTTGATAGATTATTGGCCACTGATAAAAGAGATGACAAAAACCTACGGAGATGCAATTATAACGGCGGTCCGCAATGGGTTAAAGCTGAAGACTCATCCATGTTTTGCCCAAGACTTGCATTTCCTGGATCAGCCTGTGACGAATTCATCTTTGTCAACTTTTGAAAAGTCTGTATGTGTCAGAAGTTCGAATAGACAAAAGGGTCAAACTTTTTTAGACTTTTTTAGCTGTCCACTGAACGACGAAGGGTTATTGGCTCACTATTAGGACTCAAGTTTCGGAAAAGTTCTCCGACTACAGGGTGGTTTCTTATTGTTCATTGTATCTATTTGATGCTTGTTTTTTGCAGAGTGCTCGTTGGAGCTCCTCGTGCCGAATCAGGCCAAGTTGGGACGATTCAAGCTGGCGCTTTATTCGCCTGTCCTATTAACACCAGATACTCTGGCAATGGATCCGAATGGTAAGAGGCTTTTCTGTGAATTTCTCAATAGTGATGGCGTAGAAATCTTATTTAAACTCTTTTTGGCTTTTTTGTGGTGCATTACTCGTTTTGAAATTTCCTCGGTATCTGACAAGTCCTTTCGATAGGTGCTTCTGTTTGAAAATTTTTTGGTTCATCAATCAATAAATACACGTTCTTCCTTCCCGATTTACATTACGTTTTCTTATTTGATTCTTTTCATTGATACCTCTCCTCAAAAGCTATTGAGTCCCGATTTTTTTCTACTATATCTTCAAATCCTCTATTTGACCATATCAGTCGCCCGACTTCACTTTTGTGTGCTTTTGATTTCCATATCTGTAGCACAGGTGATTGTGTTCAGGTGTGAACAAGTTCGTTCTGAATACGAGGACCAATCATCATATCTGAAGTCACCGGATCTAACACTAACAGGACGTGAGGTTCACTATCTTGGGAAAAATGGAGAACTTCTCGGCGCTTCCCTAGCTTCTCAGGGCACCAGGAGAGGAGGAGCTGTTGTGAGTGCTAGTAATTTTTCAACTGTAGAAAATTCTTCCATCTTCCCGTGAATTTATAGGTCTGCGCTCCACTAATGCGATTTCACAACACAAGTGCATACACGCAAGGCGCATGTTACGAGTTGAATTCTGATCTCACTCTGGGTGGAACTTACACCACTTGCCTCCAGAAGAATCTTCCTAAGCTTGATCGACACAACGAATACGGGGCTTGTATGGAAGGATTCTCGGCTGCTATTTCTGGGGTACGTGCCTGATTGTTTTGCAAGATTATACTCATCAGTTGTGTGATTCGACGTCAACGTTTATTCGCTATATCTCACAAAAACACCGATATTTTTTGGATCACTGTTAATTTTTGAGACCATGTTTTGCATTATTAATTAAAAGCTATAACGAGAATTACGAGCAGTTAATGTTTAAGAACGTTATGGTGACCGGACTGATTGGCGCCATGAAGTGGACAGGTGGAGTGTATGCCCGCAAGGCGGAAGGAGGCATTTTTGGCACGACTGTAAGCATTATTTTCAGTTTGTTTAGTTGGGCTTTTTGACCGCATATTTTTTCGTGCTTTGTTGTTGTGTCCAACCACAAGTGTGGCTCATTTGTTGATAAAAAGGAGTTTCTCTCTAAGGAGTTTGAGAGTCCTTAGTCCTAAAAATTCTTCTTCAGTAAAAACGTGTTGTTTTTGAGTTTTTCGACATGCCATAACTACTTTAATTTTTTGAAAAGTGAGCTTGCAGTTTATCTGTTTTGCTTTGTATAAGTATGCTGATTCCCATCTGATCAGTTTTTTGTAGATCGAAAAGTATACCATGGCACCTGAAGAAGGAGGAGTAAGAACGATGCTTGCTGCCCATGATACCTTGGTTATTCGGTCGACGTTGGCCGATTTGGATTTTGGTGGGTGTCTTTGGAGGATTGGGCAACTAATCAGTTCTCGACGATGATTTCCTCAGTATCGTTCAAACCACAAAGATTCTTAATCCACCTTTAGGTACGAAAAAGGAGAAAAGGCCACAATTGTTTCTGGCGCTACGCGATTCGGTCAACATGGAGCTGTGGTGTTCCTTCCTTTCACTAAGGTATTCTACCGAAAATAAGGGATTCACATTTCATTTCAAAATATCCATTTTCTTAGTACTTCAGCATTTGGCTAGTAATTTCGTTTTTATTCTTTTTCTTTCTGCTCTTTTTAATTACGCTTTCTCCTCTTTTGCCTCAAGTGTCTACGTTTTCCACTGGATAGTATGGTTTATTCTAGCAAAATCTTCATCTTATTTGATCTCCACTCACATCGTCGGCTCTTTTTCTCATAAAGTCTGTCACTGTGGATTCCTCGTGATTACTCTGGTGATGTAACATTTTTATGAATTGTTCAGGATCGTGGTGAGCTGCTGACATTCACGGAAGATAAATTCGTACTGAATGGAACTAAAATGGGATCAGCGTTTGGCTACGCGATTGAGGTTGTTGATCTCAACAACGACGGGTTAGTCTACTAGATTTTATGCGGAAAGCACGAAATATATGTATTCTCTTTTCAAGTTTTGACGATCTTTATTGTTGGTGCTCCTTTCGAACATCGCGCTGACACTGATGGACACTTTGGTGGAATAGTTTATGTATATTTTTCACAAGGATAGAGCCGCTAGAAAGGTTACAGCTTAAACATGGCTGTGCAGTAGTTCGTACTAGTCACACACGAAATTATTTCTGCAGATGAATCGTCGAAAGTTTTCCATCCTCCCATCACGCTCAAAGCTCCTGGATTTTTCTCTCATTCGGTCTCTCAATAACAAAGCTGGGGAACCTGGACGGTGACAAGCGTGGCTACAATGGTACATTATTATTACATGGGTTACTGCTGTCTTATGGCTGAAATGCTCATATTATTCTCTTCCAGATTTCGCTGTCGGTGCACCGTTCGCCAATGAAGGGAAAGGAGCTGTTTACGTGTACTTGGGAGAAAAATCCAAAAAAGAGTTCAGAAGGACGCCTGCTCAGGTAAGTATTCCATTTAAACTAACCCATTGTTACACCTGGCATTCTGCGATCAAAATTGTAGTCCGTTGTTTGTTGTTGGTAGTCCTTATATTTTATTATCCATGTCAGGTTATCACGAGTTCCGATCTGCCAAATCTCCGTCGTCCAGTTAAATCGTTCGGATTTTCTTTGTCTGGTGGCTCTGACCTCGACGGCAACGGCTATCCCGATCTTGTTGTCGGAGCGGTAACTGGAGGAGTTGTTACTATACTACGGTTAGCAACACGAATATTTTGATGCGGTCCTAAGTGCCAAACATCACTTTTATACTTTACAGGTCAAGACCTGTGATCAGCATTATGGCTACACATAAACAGCTAGTCCATTCATTGATATTGAGAAGGGTAGAAATTGTCCACGCGGTGCTAAAACATGGTGAGGTTTTATGCTGTAAATGTCTGCGCTTCAGCAAATTGACTCTCATACGTTGGTTTCAGTTTTCACTTGATCTCGAGATTTTTGTTGATCACGATCCTTCTAAAGGAGCGGATCTAGTCGACTTCAATTCGAACGTATTCACTTGCAACTTAGAGGTTCGTTTTATCTTGAATCGACCTAAATCGGCCACTTAATAGAAAATATCATGCTCATTCCAGGTGATTCCCGTGAAACAAGGTGTTCCACTAAGAGGATTTATAGCAAGTTCTGCTTCAACAAATCATAGCTGGCCATGTGGTCGTGATGCTCATCGTAGACGACAGAAGTATATCGAGACTATTTACATACCCGTCAGTTGCCCACCTACTTTCTGACTCGACCTCGTAGCTCATGGTTTTTGCAAACCAAATCTTCCAGGAAAATGATAACGCTGCGAAGGACTGGATAAACCCCCTCAAGTTCCGCTTTACTGTGAGAATAATGAATGAACGAAAACCATTCCATCCGGCTGAAGGCCGTCCCATCGTTGATCTCAAGCAGTACCCGATTCTTAATAAATATGGTGCCAGTTACGAGTTCCAGGTGAGCAGCTTTTGTATCTCATTCACCCCAGCAAAAAGCCTTCTAAATTCAATTTTTGGAGCTTTTTTACGATCTTCTTGAAATGAAGCTGCTAAAAATTCAACATGGGAAGGCCACATCATTTTTTGGCTACTAAAATTCAATTCAAATTTTTCTGAATACAAGAGCGCCAACTACATATTTAGATACCCTTCAATACGAGATGTGGTGAAGATCAAGTATGTCAGACTGACCTTGTACTCGAAGCGGTGTTCGTTGGCATACCAAAGTAAGTAATTTTCTGATTTAATATTCCTCAGGGACTTCATGGCTAATTTTCGAGCAGCAGAGGCTGTTTGTATGCCTGAAAATTCATTCTGTTACTCCTACCATGGGAATTTTGTATGTGTCAGTGACTACGTTCCTTCGTTAAAAATTAAATGCTTCAGCTGAGTATTTAGAACTGAAAAAGGATATGTGTCGAATGTGGGCGACAAGGATTATCTCGACATTACATTCACGGTAGAAAATCGTAAAGAGAAGGCATATCAAGCAGCACTCTACCTTACGTACGATCCAGAAGAACTTGAACTTCCCATGGTTGTTGGTTAGTTTCAATTGTTCTTGACCCGCTGTAGCTTCAGATAATGGTCCTACAATAACGTTCTGCTTAAGGAGGAGCTAAACTTGGGTGGGAAACAATTGGCAAAAATGTTGTTGTAGTCCACCTTGGCAATCCAATGGACTCCAATGTGAAGGTACGTGGGAATAAGAATGTTTATTTTTAACTGGTAACACTGACATTTTTTAGCATTCGTTTGATCTTCGCTTCAAGCTGATGCGCGGAAGAACCGAAGGGATCGGTCGACCGCTTCAGTTTTCTGCTATTGTTAATTCCACGTCGAAAGAAACAAATCCAGGTGAGCTCTCGATGACGTACAAAAACTTGATTTGAAATGTTTGTCGGCGTGCAGAAAGCTATTAATGCACCACTTTTCGAAAAGCCTTTCTAACTGCTCATGTTTAGGAGATAACGAGTGGAAATCAGACCTCCAGATAATTAAAAGGGCAGAAATGGAACTCGTAGGAACTAGCGATCCTCCGCTCGTTCGATTTGGTGGCGAAATTAAAGGTTGGTAGTTAATGTGGTTAAAAGGGATGTGAGGGAAGTTATGTGTTTGCGAAAGATAGGTCTCACAACTTTTCAGACGAATCTTCAATGGACTTAGAAGAAGACATTGGTGTTATGGTCCGTCATAACTACACTTTGCACAATAAAGGACCTTGGACTGTTCGCAATGTTTACGCCAAGGTTTCTTTTTTCTCTGCTTCAACAGTTCTTTTATGAAGTACTTGATGTCTTGTGGTAGCGATATTTCCAATGGTTATGGTGAAAAGTATCATTCTCAGTTTGAATGGCCTTACCAAGTCGAATCGCCTCGTCAGAAAGGAAAATGGGCTCTTTACCTTCTTGATGTGCCTACTGTAACAATATACAACACTGATGGTACCGTAGACATCCGAAGGTGAGCTGTCAAAGGGATTTTCAATCAGAAAATTTCAAGATATAACGCGATAACAGCCTTGTTTTGACACAATGATCCCAGAACAAGGCTGTTGTTGTTGCTAAAGAACTCCACTGCTGTCAAACTAGCTAAATGAAGGAGAGTTTGATTATCTCGACCGACTCAAAAAGACCTTCTCCTTGTTTTCCGCAAAATCTCAGGATTCCTAAACAACGGCATCCACATGCCACCTGCTGAAAGGCAATATGTCGACGATAATGATGGGGAATATATTTGTCAATTGTTGTCTCTGCTAGAGAAGAGAAATTGATTTGAAAAAGCACAAATGCCTAAAGACTTCCGACATACAAAGAGAAACGTTCTCAACTCTACTACTGCTAACTTCAGAAGTTGTGCACAGTTACAGTTTGGTTTTTTTATTACCACTGTTGGTTCTCCTATTATTTTACGCATTTGTTAAGTTGACAATTATCCTCGAGAACTACTCAAGTTGACCA